CTCTATATAAACATTTCATAAAGCTACACACATAAAAAGGAATGAATATAAAAACTGGCAAAATCTGAGAAAGGTCTATGGTCTAGTTAATTGTATTGTGTCCATGTCAATTTCTTGGCTTTTCTAATGTAATATAATTATGTAGTACCATTGAAGAAGGCTGGGTGGTAAGTATACAGGACCTTTTGGTACTACTTTTGGAATTTCTTATGAGACTACAACTATTTCAAAATAAAAAGTTTTAAAAGTAAATTCTGAGAGAGAAATTTCTTTACTTAAAAAAAAATCACACACTAAACTTGGTATTATATGTCTAATGTTCTAGGAAGTATTTGGTTTTGAAAAAGACAAGTCATCTCAGAATTATACAGTTATACAAGAGGTAAAGTCATTAAAATTTTAGCAGAAGAAGCCAAATCATTTCTAAGGACATACAGCTAAAGAATTAGGAAATGCTTCTGTACTTCTGTTGTAGTCAACTTAGATGTTTTTAGAAATGAAAAATAGCTGTACTTTCATTCTTGGGGAAAATAAAAATTTATGAAGTTTTGAATCATTAAATGTTTATTAACTATTGGTTATAGGAAAGTCATTGCCTAGAAGGCAATAAATAAAAAATAAATTACAATTTAGTAACATCGATAAGTCATGTAAAAATAAATGTGACAAGAGTGATATAGTAGATACAGTTCAGAGACAGGAGAGATACTGAAGACTTAGAAGGTTTCAAAGACAATTTCATCAAAAAATTATATTTGAGCTGTTTCTATAAATGAAAGAATCTGGACAGGTAAAGAGGAAGTGAAGATGTTTGGCCTTGACAAATGAGGGAAGAAAATAAGTAAAGACAATATAATAGGAAATACATGATATAATAAAGAAACAGAATTATCCAAATTGACTAAAAAATAGATTATTATTAAAGAAGAAGCAGTAAATAAATTGGGAGACTACTTGTGGTGTACTTAAAAAATAAGCCAAAATAATGGAATTTCCTATGGTATAGAACATTACAGATGTCACCATCATATTTTTCAGTACTCAAATTCTAAACAATGTGGACAGTCTCAGAGCAAAATATTCAAAGTCTGACTTGAAAGTGACATCAAATTGTACTTAAAAATATCTTTCTACTAATGACATAATTAAAAAAGAATTGATGGAAAAACTAAGAGCATTTGGAATGTGAGATTCAAAATATATAGCTTAAAAATGTATAGACATCTGTCTAAATAAGTTACATATTAGACTGTTTCTACAATAGTGAATTCCCTTTACATTACAAAGTGTAAAGCAAGACTTTGACAAGAATTTATTAATACATGCTTAATTAACTCTCAAGAAATTATTTATTTTAAAGTTTTAAATGCCAATATCAACCTGCTAGGAGTTGTACACTTTTTCACATCTAATATCATTATAGCAAAAGAAAATTATAGCTTCCATGGAAATAAAAAATAATTCAGACTTAAAATACCATAGAGAAAGGTAACTCAAGCTCAAGAGAATTTTAACAGTAGAAATATGTATGCTACTTCCAAGAACGATGCTTTGGTATTCAGGATGTTCCCTTGGTACTACTAAAACTATTAAGCTAAAGAAAACTTATTATTTTTGATATCTTTTATAACACAAGAAGTGAAAGAATACTAAGTTGTACTTTAAGTCAACTTAATTTATAGGACAGGTATCAGGATCAAAAGCCTTCTGAAGAGGAAATTCACATGCTTCCTGTTTACTTAACAATATTCTTTCTTCTTTGTCACATCAAAGAACAATTACCTTTACCTAGGAATCATCTATTTTTAGCTCATTCTCAAAGAAAATAAACTTGCATTTGGGAGTCATCGTGTTTTTTTAGTAACTATTGTTAATGAAGCTTGATGTTTACATCTAGTACCATTAATATTTTCAAAGCATTTGTAAATATTTCACGTACATATTTTACTCGTTATTTTTCACAAGTTTCACCTAGGACTCCTTAGAATAATTCTGCCATGTCACCTAATCTTATGTGCAAAATGAAACACAGCTGACCCTCAAACACCACCATTTTAAATTGTGTGGGTCCACGTAAGTGTGGACTTCTTTTTTCCAATCAAATGCAAATGGAAAATATAGTATTCTAGGGAGGCAAAACTTGCCTAATACAGAGGGCCAACTTACTATATACATAGGTTCCACAGGGCAAACAGCAGAATTTGAGAAAGTACAGATTTTGGTATACACAGGGTGGAACAGTGTCCTGGGACCAATACCCTTCATATCCTGAGCATCATCTTTATGTGTATCTAAAAATATCTCCCTGCTCAAAAATTATGTTTCTATTAACACATATAACTGTTCTGAGACATGTCTGTTCTACCCTCTATAGGCACTATCCTAATACATGATCAGCAACACCACACTTTTTAAAATTAAAATGTTTGAACAGGACTTTCTAATTTTTAATATTTTAGCTCTGAGGCTGTCAAAATTTATTAAAATTTGAGAAACATTAACTATGAGAAAAATACCAAAAGAGGTTTACAAAAGGCTCTTACTGACCAAAGACAGAACAATTTGAACATCAATATGAATACTAACTGCAACAGATTGAAATAGTTTAAATCCTTGAATTTATAAATGACACTAGAAAAAGAGTATTGGTCAACTTTAAAGGATGACAGAGGACCAACTAATTATCTTAAAAATGTAAAGGTAATCAAATAATTTATGAGGGGATGTTTCTTAATAAAAGCATTCAGTTAATAAGAGAATTTAAGTATCACCTGCAGTGCCTAACGAAATAATGGATGTAGGCAAAGATCATCAATGGCTGCTAACATCACAAAAATAAAAGCAACCTAGACATTATGTCTTTTGGTGAAAGTACACAATACTGCTTATGAAGTATTCTTGCTATAAAACTGAGCCTGAATTTAAACACTTCTAGAATTAACTATTGGTTTCAGGAAATACAGAGAACAGAGAAACCTGTTAAATAATTCACAGAGATATAAACAACAAAATTGAAACTGTGGGAAACTACCAAAAAAAAAAACCCAGAACAACCACTAAACGAACAAAAACTCTAATATATGGATGTAATTTTGATCCTGATTCCAACAATCTATATAACATTTATGAGATAGCAGAAGAATTACTATTAAAGAGTTCTTATCTTTTTTTTTTTTTTTTTTTAAGAGAGAGGGTATTGCTCTGTTGCCCAAACTGGAGTGCAGTGGCATAATAGTAGTTCACCGCAGTTGTCTCCAACTCCTGGATTCAAGTGATCCTCCCACTCTGGTCTCCCAAAGTGCTGGGATTACAGGTGTGAGTCACTGCACCCAGCCGACTCCTTATCTTTTACAGATACATATACCTGAGTATTTTAAAATAAAAGAATGAGCTTGATATTTGTTGTAACATAATCTAGTTTAGTCAGGTATGCATGAAAAAGATTACTCATGCTATAATAGTGACTGAAGCTTGATGATGGAGACATGGGGATTCATTTACTATTATATTTGTATGTTCAGAATGTCCTTAATAATAAGTAAACAAAGACGATGTTGCAGAATGGCATTTTAATGTGTGTCATTTCCCTAAAAAATCCTTCAAGGGCTCCCTCTGCCTAATTAAGAACATCTGCTAGACCCAACTCTAAATTTTTCCATCCACTGTTCTACACGCTAGCCTTGAACATTGTAACACTTCCTCTCTAATCTTTATTATTTTCAACTGAAATGCATTCCCTCTCCCATATCAACCTACCAAATTTTACCCATCCTTCAATACTTGCCTCAGATAACCGAACTATAAAGAGGGTATAAACTTAGATACAACCAATTAAGTGACTTTTGAACAATTTTAAAAGTAGAAGTTTAGAAGTCTGAATTTAGAAATTTGCTTTTTCTTCAAGCAAAGTATCTTGCAGAACCTCAATACATAAGAAATAAAGTACAGCTGCTTTTGATGAAGGGCAGCTTGGAGTCGTCCCATCAAAACTCTACCCCTGAAAAAAGAATGAAAATCATTAGCATAAACTTCATCCTTGTAAGGGTAAAAAAATTGAGCTAAGTGATTAAATATTTTACAACAGTCACAGTCATAAAGGCCAATGTAGAGCTTCACATTCCAACTCCTTTATCCTTTATAAAATATCTCTTGATATCCTTCCTCTACAGACACTCTTTCCTTTCTCTAAACCAAACCACCACATATAACTGAGTGTACCTAGTACAAAAAGACACACATTGGCTACATGTTTAATAAATACGTGGTACCAGATTCTGTTTTATCTTTCCTTTAAAACTGAAAATTTATTGAAGAAACTGACTATCTTTTACTTATCCTCATAGCAGTGCCTAACTCAGGGCCTTTTACTAATTAAGAAGAACTTTCAGAAGCAAATATGCAGATGGTGGTTTCCCATATTTAATAAATATCATCTAAGAGAAAAATATCCATGAACGTGAAGTGCCAGGAGAAAGTGAAAAACTTTATTTTCAAAGGCAAGTTTACTATTAAGGGGAAGTAAAGCAACAGAAATAAAGGCTGGAATTTTCTATAAAAGAAAGCAGCCCTTTAAAGAGAATAAAAATATTTAACAAGAAAATAGCAGTTACAGAAATAAGCAATAAGTATTTACTGATTGAAGTGGGATTTACTATACTTATTTTGATTCATATGAAACTGCCCATATTTGATTCTTTTTAATCTACAAAAAGTGACAACTTCACATGATTCTACCTAATATAAATAAGCAGAGTCTAGGTTACTGAAAGACATGTCAGAATGACTTCACTGTTCAAATAAACTCTACCATACTTTTGGAACAGACAAAAACCCAAAATGAAACAACTTGCATCAATCTAATTTGAGATTATAATAGTTCATAGGGGGTGGATGTAAATGTAAATTGACAGAAATATTTAGAAATTTTCAGCAATCCCTGGAAATTGTTGTTGCAAGACTGATTTTGAAAGTTGAAAATATTTTAAAAACATTTTTACTAGTCAAAACACACCAAAAAATAAAATAAGTTTAATATGACAATAAATTGCCTGATTCACATACTAAATTTCTCTATACAAGGAGATTTCACAATCCAGGATCCATAACCATGTTGCTGTAAGTAGGATTTCAACTTAGTTTTAGCTTCTTGATAGGAGGTAGACATAAACTGGAGAAGAAAGAAAAATTAAATTATGGAAAATGGGCATAACTTGACCTATGAAAAGTAAGCAGCCCTAATGTTTTTTAGCTTGACATTTATAAAATTTATTTTTATAATCTTTCTCAATTCCTATTTTTAAAATATTATTTTTGAAAATAAAAATTTTCTTCCCAACACTCCTTAAAGAGATTTTATTTTAACATTTTAATTAAAAAATTAATCATATTCATTACCAAAAAGCTGAAAAGCAGAAAATATTAACAAGGAAATAAAAATAACCTGTAACCCCTAAACTATAGATAGCCACCATTAATATTTTGGTGTATTTTCATTTTCTATAAATACACACACAAATTTTTAAAAAGCCAATTTTAGTTAGGGTATAATTTACACCCTATACAATTCACCCATTGTAAGTATATTGTTTGATGTTTTTAGTAAACTTATAGAGGTATATAAATACCACCACAGTTCAGTTGTGAAACAAATTCCATCACCTCTAAAAAGTTCTACTGTCCCCATCTGCAGGCAGTCTGTATCACTGACCCCAGCCCTAACTCTAGGCAACCACAAATATACTGTCTCTAGAGTTTTGCTTTTCCTAAAAATTTAATACAGACTAACACAGTATGCACACTTTGCTGTGTCAGGCTTCTTTTAGTTAGCATAACGTTTTCTAGTTCATTCATGTTGTTTCATGTATCAGTAGTTTGTCCCTTTTTATTGAAAATTAGTATTCCATTGCAGGGATATAACATTTTGTGTATGTATTCACCACCGTTGATAAACATCTGAATTGTCTACAGTTTTTGGCTATGACGAATAATGCTATAAACAGGCATATATGAGTCGATGTATAAACTTAACTTTTTGTTTCTCCTGAATAAATACCAGAATTGCTGGATCACATGTTTTTCTTAAGAAAATGCCAAACTTTTCCAAAGTGGTTATGCCATTTTAGATTCCTGTCAGTAATGCATGAGGCTTCCAGTTTTCCTACATCCTCAACAACTGATATGGTCAGTCTCATTTGGATTTTAGTGCATGTGTAGTGCTATCTCATTGTAGTTTGCTTTTCATCTCTCCAATGACTAATGAGGCTGAGCATCTCTTATGTGTTTATTAGTCACTTGTTATATTCTTTGCCACTTTTAAAATTTGGGTTCTTTGTCCTATTACTCAGTGTAAGAATTCTTTATACATTTTGGATCCAAGTCCTTTATAAAATACATAATTTACAAGTATTTTCTCACAGTATGTGACTTATATTTTCATTTCATAAATAAAATCTGAAAAGCAGGTTTTAAATTTTAGAGTCAAGTGATTGATTTTTTATAGATTATCTTTTGGTATTACAGCTAAGAAATCTTTCCCTAATAATATATTTTTTCACATTTGAAGGTTTTATAGTTTTAGCTTTTATAGTTAGCTCTAAGGTCAGTTCTGAGTTAATTTTTGTGCATGATTGACATAAGGATCTAAGTTAAATTTTTGTTTTACCCACAAATATCCCACCATTCTAGTGCCACTTGCAGAAAAGGGTACTGTTTCTCTCACTGAATTACCTTGGCACCTTTGTACAAAATTAATTGGCCATATTTGTGTAGGTTTATTACTGTTCCACTGGTCTATATGTCTATTATTATACCAATACATTGTCTTAAGTACTCTGACTTTATAGAAAGTTTCGAAACTAGGTAGATCAAGACTGTTTCCAACTGCTGTTTTTCAAAGTTTTAGTTCTCCTTTGTCATTTAGATTTCTGTATCTTATAATCAATTTGTTGATTGCTACACAAAAGCCTGCCGAGATTTTAATTTTGCATTGAAGCTTACAGATTAACTTGGAGAGAAGTGACATCCTAACAATACTGTTTTCTAATTCATTAAGATGGTACATCTCTCCATTACTTAAGTCTTCAATATCTGTCAGCAATGTCTCATCATTCCCAGTGTACAGATCCTGCACTTTAAAAAAAAAATTTTTTTAGATTAGAAAATAAAGTTTATTTAGAAAGTAAATTAGAGAGAAAGAGAGAGAGAAAGAGGAGATTCACCTCCCCAAGGTAGGGGAGGGGGCCAAAGCCAGGAAATAGGACCTGGCCATAGCTCAAAGAGCACATGGCCACACCACAGTTTACCAAGACAATGGCAACAATGGCCTCGCAATGGCCCTTGCGCTTCTGTTGTTGAATTTATTCGTCTACGTTTGTTTGTATACACACATTTGGTGTACTGTGAATGAAGCTGTTTACTCAAATTCTGGAGCATTCATTCCTAGTATATAGATATACATTTTATTTTTTTACATTCTTATACTTTTTGACCTTGTTAAATTCACATACTATCTAGTTATATTTTGGTAGACTCCAAAGAACACTTTACCTACAAGATTATACCAATTAGAGATAATTTTTTTTCCCTTCTTCCTTTCCAGTGTTTTGGGTGGGGGAAGTATTCAGTCTTTCACCATTAAGTATAATGTCAATGGTAGGTTCTTCATTGGTATCCTTGAAGTTGAGGAAATTCACTTCCATTCCTTATTTGCTCAGAGCTTTTACTGTGAATGGATGCTGGACTTCATCAAATGTATTTTGTACATCTTTTGAGATAATCATGTGGGTTTCAAACTTGAATTTATTCATTAATGTATTATAGCAAATAATTTTCTGATGTTGAATCAACTTTGCATTCTGTGTATAAACCTCCTTGGTCATAGAGCATAATCCTTTTTGTTATGTTGCTATATTTGGTTTGTCAGTATCTTGCTAGAGATTTTTACATTTATGTTCATGAGATAATATACTAACTAGTTTGTGATTTTTATTTCTTGCAATGTTTTTCATCCAGTTTTGGTACTGGGAATATTGGTTTTGTAAAATGAGTTGGGATGTGCTTTCTCCTCCATTTTCTGAAAGAGCTTTTGTGGAATTTGTATTATATTTTGCATATGTGTTTTAATAGGATTAGCCAGTGAAGTCATATATGTGTCTGAGATTTTCCTTAGGAAAATAATTTTAATTAATAGTTCACTTTCTTAAGTTCTAATTGAATAGTATATTTATTTATGAGTCAGTTTTAAAAATTTGTTTTTCTAGGAAGTGTCCATTTTGTCTAACTTGTCTTATTTACTGCCAAAAGGTTGTTCCTAATCCCTTGTAATTATTTTAGGCTTCTTAAGGTCTGTAGTGATGACTATTCTTCCACTCCAAATTTTGGTAATTTGTGTTATCTCCTATTTTTTCTTGGTTAGTCTACCTAAGGGATTATCAAGTTTGTTGATTTTTAAAAATAAGCCAACTTTTCATTTCATTTTTCTTTCTTCTGATGTTTTGTTTTCAACTTAATTGAGTTCCATTTGATCCAATTCATTATCTTCTCCCATCTACTTACATTTTGTTCTAATTTACTTGTCTTTTTCTAGCTTCATGAGGTGAAAGGTCAAATAACTGATTTTAAGATTCTTTTCTAATATAGCTGGGCACAGCGGCTCACGCCTGTAATCCCAGCACTTTGGGAGGCCGAGGAGAGAGGATTGCCTGAGCCTAGAGGTTCGAGACCAGCCTGGGGAACTTGGCGAAACCTTGTCTCTATAATAAATTTAAAAAAATTAGCCAGACATGGTGGCACACACTTGTGGTTCCAGTTTCTTGGAAGGCTAAGGCAGAAGCATCACCTGAGTCCAGGAGGTTGAGATTACTGGGACTATAAGCATGCCACTGCACTCTAGCCTGGGCGACATTGAAATTCCAACTCAAAAAAAAAAAAAAAAAGATTCTTTTCTAATATAAGCATTTAAAGCTATACATTTTATACATTTCTCTCAAAGCACTTCTTTATACAGCTGTCCCTCAGTAGCCATAAGAGGATTAGTTCCAGGAGCCCCCGCAAATACCAAAATCTGCAGATGCTTGAGTCCCTTATATAAAATGGCATAGTATTTGTATATAATCTACAAACATCCTCTTTTATACTTTAAATCATCTCTAGATTAATAGTTATTTGTAACATTTACAATGCAAATACTATGTCAGCAGTTGCTGTACTGTTTTTAGTTATTATTTTTTACATTTCATCCCCCCCCTTTTCAATCTGAGCAGTTGAATCTATGGTTGTAGAATTCGCGGATACAAAGGGCCAACCATATTCCATAGATTTTAATATGTTCTGTTTCATTTTCTCTCAGTTCAAGATATTTCTTATGTTTCCTAATAATTTCTTCTTTGAACCATGTGTTATTCAGAGGTAAGTTGTTTAATTTCTAAATATATAGCAATTTCCCAGATTTCATTCTGTTGTTGGTTTCTAATTCCATAGTGGTTAGAACATACTTCGTATGATTTCAAAGTTATTGATACTTCCTTTATGAACTATGAAGAATACTCTATGTGTAACTTGAAAAGAATGTACATTCTGCTGTTGTGTAGAGTTTTTTTTACAGGTCAGTTAGGTTTGGTTGTTTGGTAGTGTTGTTCAAGTCTTGGTTGGTTGGTAGTGTCACTCAAGTCTTCTATACTCTTACTGTTTTTTCTGTATAGTTGTATTATCAATTATTGAAAAGAAAGTATTAAAAACCCCAAATATAGTTGCTGAATTGCCTACTTCACTTTTCCCTCTTGCCAATTTCTGCTTGTATATTTTGGGGCTCTGTAGTTACACTAACATACATTGATGTTCTGATATATTTACCACTATAAAACATTGTTCTTTGTCTCTAGTAATATTTCTCATCTTAATGTATATTTGACATTAATATGAACATTCTGGCTCTTGTATTATTTGCATGATATAGCTTTTTGCATCCTTTTACTTTCAATCTATTTGAGTCTCTCAATTTAAAACATGTCTCTTGCAGATAGCATACAATTGAATCATGCTTTTTTACCCCGTCTGACAATCTGCCCTTTGAGTGCAATTATTGATATGGTAGATTTATGTCTGCCATTTTACTATTTTCCACATCTTATGTCTTTTTTACTCTGCTTCTTTACTGCCTTCTAGTTTTTT